ATGTCAGCATCGGGTAAAACATGTATGTTGTACTAGTGTTATGATCCACATTTATGATCAGCTCAAAATTTGTGGCAACCCTATTCCGGAGCTTCGCTACGCAAATGACACAGTCCTCCTTTCGAACAGGGTAAAGGGGGAGGAACATTTAATATTTTATGTCCAAAAGCACAGTGAAGATCAAAATCTGTTCTTGAATTTGAAGAAAAGTAAAGTAATGTCCACAGATAATACTGGCTGTCACCCAAAAATAACAATAAATGATGAAGAAATTGAAAATCTCACAAACTTTGAATATCTAGGCTCGGTAATAAACAGCAATGGAGACTGTTTGACAAAAATTAAAAGGAGAATGGCCATAGCAATGCAAAGATCGAACAGCCTTAAAAGTCTATGGTTAAGCACCAGCAAGGAGATCAAAATTATAATTTTGAGAGCATGCATCTTCCCTGTGGCTACATACGGATGGGAGTCGTGGACTATCTTTCAGTCCTTAAGAAAGAGAATAGGGGCTTTTGAGCTGAAATGCTATAGAAAGATTATCAGAATACCTTTGACAAAGAAGATGAGAAATACTGATATTTTGAAAGATCTGAACACCAAGGAAGATTGGCTAATAAAAAGCATCCTGTCTGGAAAGCTGAAATATGTTGGTTATATCAAGCGCAACGACGGATTGAAAAAAAAATATGGCAAAGGCATGGTACCAGGAAGGAGGGGCAGGGGCCGACCGACACGAAGATGGGCACAGGATATAAGTGTCTCCTTGAGTATGAAAGTACACGAGGCGGGAAAACTGGCGAGAGACAGAGTTTCTTTCAGGCCGACTGTGATGAGAGCGACGTTCTGCAAAGGATCTGCTACATGATGATGATGAGTACTAGTGCTCAAGCCATCTCGAGTTTTCCTCAAATCGTAAATTCAGCTTGCTGACCGCTGGTGCACCTCTTGGTCTGTCAAACACAAACATAGGACGTCAGAAGTCTTATCGTTTATACCCTGTCCCATACCCTTCCCACAGGGCTATGACAGTGTGCCTGTTCATCGTTAAAGGGATGCCTCATGCAGCGATGCATAAAAGCAGCCTGTTTCCGTGGTCATTAGACGTGGCTGTGTTTGAACCGGAAGCTATATAGGCAGGTACTGTCACAATAACCCGAACACCCCAAAAATAGTGTACTTTCCGGGGAATTTCGGGGTTCCCCATTTTTGGGGGTGAGCTAAAATGAAAGTACCTGGCATACTTCAACTGGATGCAAGTACCGTAGTTCGTTATCATCAGCTACTGAGACAGTTAAACCGCAGTGACCACCCACACAGTGTGTACATTAAACAGTCAACATAATCGAAAGTGCCATAGCAGGTATGCTATTGATCTGGCCATTCTAACACAAACAAATGAAATCAAACATTCACCGGCGTGACACCGTCATCTATAAAGCAGCGAACGGCTAAGAAGAGGTACACAAGAGAAGAATAAAGACAGGGCTAGCGTGGGAGTAATTTTAAAAAATGAGACTTTAACTCTTTCACTATCGGAAGGTTTTTTATCAGGTGTGATACTGACGAAACAAACATCAAGCCAAACCAATAACGTTTCACATTTATACATTGATGTAGAGACCAACGGGGCAAGCCAGATTTCTCTAATATGTCTTTTTTCTTAACTTGTTTCATTTTCTTTGTCTGTTTTCTTTGTTTCTGTTGCCTTTTTTTTCTGTTTCATCTTCTTCTTATGTTTCATCTTCTTCTTACGTTTCATCTTCTTCTTCATCTTCATCATCTTCTTCTTTTCTCTTTCTTCGTCTTCGTCGTCTTCTTCTTCGTCGTCTTCTTCTTCGTCATCTTCTTCTTCGTCATCTTCTTCTTCTTCGTCGTCGTCATCTTCTTTTTCTTCTTCTTCTTCTTCTTCTTCTTCTTCTTCTTCTTCTTCTTCTTCTTCTTCTTCTTCTTCTTCTTCTTCTTCTTCTTCTTCTTCTTCTTCTTCTTCTTCTTCTTCTTCTTCTTCTTCTTCTTCTTCTTCTTCTTCTTTTTCTTCTTCTTCTTCTGTTTCTTCTTCTGTTTTGTCTTTTTCTTTTGTTTTTTCTCTTACCTCGTTTCTTTCCGTTTCTTCTTCTTCTTCTTTTTCTTTTTCTTCTTCTTCTTTTTCTTTTTCTCTTTCTTCGTCTTCGTCGTCTTCTTCTTCGTCGTCTTCTTCTTCGTCATCTTCTTCTTCTTTGTCGTCGTCGTCATCTTCTTCCTCTCTTCATCTCTTCTTCTTCTTCTTCTTCTTCTTCTTCTTCTTCTTCTTCTTCTTCTTCTTCTTCTTCTTCTTCTTCTTCTTCTTCTTCTTCTTCTTCTTCTTCTTCTTCTTCTTCTTCTTCTTCTTCTTCTTCTTCTTCTTCTTTTTCTTCAACCTTTTTTCCTCTTCTTTTATTTTCTTCTTCCTCCTCTTCTTTTTTCTTCTTCTTCTTCTTGTTGTTCTTCTCCTTCTTCTTTGGTTCGTTTTTTTTTTTTTTTTTTTTTTTTTTTTTTTTTTGAGTTTCTGCTTTAGCTGCTATCATTCCCTCTTCTATCGCCTTATATTGTCGATAATGGTGCAATTCACCAAATTAAAAAAAGAGAAAAACTACCTGTTTTACCATTTGTTGATGTGTCTTTAAAGTCTGAGCATTCAGATCCGCACGGCTAGTGCTGTCGCCACTGATTATGCAGGTTAGAACTGTATTTTTCCCTCCGAAGTCGGAGTACATCTGCCGGAGAGGCGGGGAACGAGTACTGCAAACAAATAAGCCAGTAAAACGGATGTACACGCAAAACTCAGGTCAAGGTAAAAGCCAAAAGTCCATTTTGGACGAACAACCGTGACTTACCGCCGGAATTCACAGCCGGTGAACAAGAAGAAGAAGAAGAAGAAGAAGAACTGTATTTTTCCCTCCGACAAAAAAGTCCAAAATGTCTTTGAGAATTTGAACCCGTTTCTCCCGTATGCAAGAATATCACCCTCGCCATTTAGTCAGGCGTTCAGGATTCAGTTGATCGATGAACATATTTATCTGGCACCATGAGAACAGGGCACAGTCGATTACGTAACCACATGTACACGAAATTCAAGACAGCCGTCTCAGGCATGTGCACCTGTGGAAAGGTGCCCTAGACAGCAGAGCATGTACTCCAGGACTGAACCGAATTTGCACATTAAGGCAAACCTTTTGGCCAGAAAGAACAACAGTGGAACATAAACTCTATGGATCACTGAATGTTCTAACAACGAATGTAAAATGTATACAAGAGACAAAATTGCTGATATAGACAACTTATTTCAGGCGAGCGAAAGAAGAAGAAGCATCTGGTACAATATGCTGGATCCGCATACTGTGACGTGAAAGTGTATATTTGCTCTGTTCGAGGTAATATTATATGTCTAAAAGTAATGGACCCTTTTCCACGTCTTTAGGTGTACAGGGCATATGGTGCTAGACCTATATTTAGTTGGTGATGGGGTCAGCATCAGGGCGGCCGCCTTTACTTTCCAGGACTGCACCCGATACCCACTCAAGGCTGGGTCGACCTGGGAGTCAATGTCATTTTTGAAAAAAAGGCTGGCTTCGCCAGGATCCGAACCCACGACCTTCCGATCCGCAGGCGGGAGTCTAGCCACCATCGCCTCAGCGACATCTCTAATGCTTCAAATAATTTCATTATATTGTTGACTAGTTGTTCGGGGAGTGTGGGGGGGGGGGGGGGGGGGGGGGGGGGGGGGGGGGGGGGGTTATCTTCTTAAATAAGTTCATCTCGCATGTAAGAACTCTTTATCCTGATATATAATAAAAAGTACGCTGTCAGGGGTCAAGAGGCTGGTGGTAAGGTCTGAGCACTTGTTTTTAATGGTCATTTAACTTGCGCTGACAGATGTGCTCAATTATACTTTTCATATTCGCCTCCGACTCCTTGAGCTTGAAAAGTACCAAGAGTTATGAGTGCTGTGATATAGTTCATTGCTGATACAATCAAAGAACATTAACACTGCAATCACGACAACACAAACAAACAATCAGAATGTGGTTACAATCCACACGAGAACGTCTGATGTAGATTCAACATGTTGAGCTCTATTATTTCTAACTTTATTATTCTATAATTTCTACATCGTTCTAAATATTTCAACATTTTATCTAACTCTAACTCAATAAGTAGAACTATTTTCTGTCAGGCATGGCCACGCTACAGTTGTCCAGATTGTCAGTTAGGACGTCCGGTCGACAACTGTCTCCAGCCGGTTTACAACCCGAGCTCACTTCCCTTACTTCAGATAGTTCACGGGGCCTCTATGGCCCGTGTATACACCATGACAGTCACTGGTTTTGCGCTTGTCTTGAAGTCCCACATTCACCCGATCGGCCACGATCCTCTACCACGATCATTACAAATGCATTGCCTTAAAATAAAGGGTTTGCCTTAAAATAAAGGTTTTGTATTAAGAACGATTTCATTTTTCATGACAGGTTTGTTGTCTGTGATACGGTGAGTCGTTCGCTAAGTGTTGCATAGAGCAGATCTACTTTTTTTTTTTTAACTATGCGCCGATAAAGACTCGCGAAAGCATTTAAATTATGGTAATTAAGACATAACTCCTGGGTGAGGAGGGATGAAGATCCAATTGAAACGGACACCAGTGGAAATGTCCAGTGAGTGCAGTTAGCGAAGGGGAGACTTTGCAGAGTCACATTACCTTTCAATAACTGTTATGAACTTTTGGGGTGCCTTGGGGTGTTGTTCTGTCTTTAGGCAGACTGTGGGATGAGGTGGGAGGTTTGCAGAGCCTACATGGTCTTCCGCACTAGTTGTGGAGTGTCTTGGGGTGTTGATTCCATTAAGCTGTACTGTACTCAATGGTCACGACGACTAAAAATGTTACAAATGGAAGACATGATCAACCTAAAGGGTAAGCAATAACTGTTGCCATAGAGAATGGTGAAAATGCCCAGATCATCACACTAGATGAACTCATGACCGTTTAAAGATAACGAAAAGGAAAAAAAGGGGAGAATATGTAATGAGGGGAATTTCCACATGAGTTTTCTTATGACGTGATAAGGCTAAACAAGGTTAAGAGAAGAACACACGAGAAGATAAAGACTCGTGAAAACACGAAGTATATGAAGAGTGCTCAGGTGACAGCGCGGGGGACCCAGAACGAGGTTTAAAGATTAGACAAAGTTCTAATCAAAGTGTGATTCGCAGCCAGAGTGAGAGCTTGTGTTTGAGATAGCGTGAATACAACATGGTATAATTGGACAACATGGATGATATTGAAGTCTACGGGATGATCGCTAGGCGAAAATCCCATCAAGTCGACACCCAACCTGACGGTGAAGCTTAACAGCCAGTGGTAGGAGATGCTTGCTCGGTGCCTGGATGTGTGGCGTGATTGATTCATGAGGATTGCAAGGTAACGCATGCAGATGATTGAGAACAGTGGTTGTGAACTTTATTTTTGTTACCATCTGAATATTTGAATAGGCCAGAGAGCAGCTGCCATGATGCTGACCACATCATCAACTAAATATAGGTCTAGATGATATTAACTGCGATTGTGTCTCCTCGGTATCACCTGTGTGCGTCAACTCGTCATATCTGTCAGAAATACTATAACCCCTAGCAAACAGCCAACACGCTAAGAAGACAACATCGAGGCTAGTTTAAATATGAGCCCATGTGGGTTCCAGTCCAAAAGTTGTGTGGAACTCTTCATATGTGACCTTTCCAATGCCAGCGTCTTTCCCTCACTTGTTGTTGATTCATTGCAATGTGTTTAATCCTTCTCTCCCCCCCCCCCCTCAAGGCTTAGCATTGGTGATTCCTTGTATTCTGCTCAGGCATCAGTTAATAAATACGTGTAGTTTAGTAGTAAGGGCCTTATCGTTGTTTAAATGTGCAATAATAATAATACTTCACATGCAATCTTTCTTTGTCAGATGAGACGAGAAAGAGAGCTCTCAAGTGCTATATAAATCCCAGCCTGGCATACGGAAGTGAATCGTCGACAGTTTGGCGATTAGTGAAATCTGTGGTGTCCGAAAAAGCGCAGCACAGTGCGCCGCCTAGGATCCTGAAACACTTTGGTTTAATTCGTGACTCTAAATTTTGACCGAGCAGCGCCGTTAGGCTACTATTTTCGATTTCCAACCGCCAAGGAATTTTTCTACATGCGCAACAATGCACACGGGCGTCCGATCTCACTACCCAGAAACCAGGGGAAAATTACTAGAAGTCCAAGTCCACGTAAAAAAATCCCAGCCCCTACCGGGATTTGAACCCGGAACCTCTAGCAAAGGAGGCAAGCACCATGCCTAGAAACCATTGCGCAATTTTACGCACGTAAAAAATCCCTTGGCAATTGAAAATCAAAAAGAGTAGCCTAACGACGCTACACTGGTAAATATTTGGAGTTTAAAAAATAACTACCCAAAAAAATTTTAGTATTTCAGCATCCTCGCCGGTGCTACAGAGCCTGTGCACTGTGCTGACTCTTTCGGACTCAGGCTTGAGTTAAAAGAAGGACGGAGCACTTATGGGTTGCCACCCGTGTGTCATGATGTTGATCCGTTGTTCAAACCTCAAATAAATTATCTTGTGAGAGGCGGCGTGGCGGCTCAAAAGCCTGAATCCCAATTTCCGGCCCATGTGACGGATAGACCATCGATGTAGTCAATGACCTGCCAGTACTAACCTTGATAACACTGACCTTTGTATAAAATCTTAGAGACTGTTCAAGGTTTCTAAAATAAAAAAAAAAAAATAAATAGATAAAACGGCAAACAAACAAAGAAACTGGTGTCGTTGAACTGGTAGAGCGGTGCAAATGATAAATCAATGGTTCAGATATGGCTGAGTTCTGACTGTTATCTGACAACCATTCTACAGAAATGGAGTCTGAGCGGTGTTTGCGAGACTTTAGGAAGTGCTGAATATAGTATCCCGGGGTTAATGTACGTACGGTGTTTCTTTTGTTGTGTTGACAGGTGGACGGGACCGGTGACTTGCTAGAGAGAAGTAAGCGGGAGCGGATGAAAGAGGAGAGGAAGAGGGACAAGGAGAGGGAGAGAGGCATTAAGAGAGAAAGATAAGGAGAGCGATGGAGAGGAAGACATAGATAGAGAGGGAATAGGGTGGGGAACAGGAAAGACAGTCACATATAGTACGAGTGAGAACTCGCAAACAACTTTTTTATGTTTGTCAGATAACAGTCACATCATCATTATCATCATCATTATTATCATCATCCTCATCATCACCAACATGATCATCATTATCACTACCACCGCCATCATCATCATCTATGGGGGCTGCGAGATCTCGATTAATAGCGTTCGCATCGTGTTCTGGAGGTCTCGGTTTCAATTCCTGGTAAGGGCTGGGATTTTTTCACGAGGACTTCCAGTAATTTCCCCTGGTTTCTGGGTAGTGAGATCGGACGCCCGAGTGCATTGTTGCGCACGTAAAAAAAAATTCTTTGGCAGTTGGAAATCGAAAGAAGTAGCCTAACGGCACTGCGCGGGCAAAATTGGAATTTAAAATTCTATCTAATGTATTTGAGGATCCTCGTCGGTGCCACAGAGCCTGTGTACTGTGCTGACCTTTTTTGGATTTAAGTAAGAAGAAAAACGGAGCACTTATGGGTTACTACCCGTGTGCCATGATGTCAATCCGTTGTTCAAATCTCAAACTATGCCTTCCATTATACTTAAACAACAGTCATTAGTACCCTGGAACATTTTGGTATACATTGGGTATGTTGGTTAATGTGTGTAAATATGTTTAGCCTTATCGAAAAATAGACGTATGTTTAGCATAAGACCTTTATATGTTTTTGAACTATCGCTCCCATGATTATTATTTATTAAGCGTACAGCCCGCTTCTGAAGTGATGTAAGCAGCTTGAAAACTAAACCAGAACAGCCATCCCATATTGTAGAGCACAAGTTTTTTTTTGCGTCTGGATTTGAGAAGTAACAAAAGACATTTTTAATTGTTACAAGCTGGTTTGATTCCACCCCCCCCCCCCAACTGTTTGTTTTTCAAGTGTTTGCGCAAGAGGTTTAAAAGGTTAGATTTGCCTTAACGATCAAGTATATTGCTTTGTGTTTGTTTATTCTTTGCACTGAAGTGTTTTCGATATAGAGTTTACGCGATCTCTGTGAATTTAAACTGTATAGTTTGTTTTGTTCGTGGTTATTAACATAGACTTTGTTGTATTAAATATTTGCTAAAGTTTTCAATTTCTTAATTCAACGATATTATTTAATTGTTGTAAAGACGACTCCGGCACATTACAAATTTAAGAGATAAAAGGAGAGAAGGAATACAGAGAGATGAAGGAGACAAAGAGAGAAGATGAGAAAGTGAGAACGGTTTTGGTGGCCAAGATAGCGTTGATGATGGTTGTATTAATGATGATGGTGGTGGTGGTAATGATGATGATGGTTGTATTAATGATGATGGTGGTTGTGGTAATGATGATGATGGTTGTATTAATGATGATGGTGGTGGTGGTAATGATGATGATGGTGGTATTAATGATGATGGTGGTTGTGGTAATGATGATGATGCTTGTATTAATGATGATGGTGGTTGTGGTAATGATGATGATGATGGTTGTATTAATGATGATGGTGGTTGTGGTAATGATGATAATGGTTGTATTAATGATGATGGTGGTTGTGGTAATGATGATGATGGTTGTATTAATGATGATGGTTGTGGTAATGATGATGATGGTTGTGGTAATGATGATGATGGTTGTTTTAATGATGATGGTGGTTGTGGTAATGATGATGATGGTTGTATTAATGATGATGGTGGTTGTATTAATGATGATGGTGGTTGTGTTAATGATGATGGTGGTGGTGGTTGTAATAATGATGGTTGTATTAATGATGATGGTGGAGGTGGTAATGATGATAATGGTGGTGGTAATGATGATGATGGTTGTGGTAATGATGATGGTGGAAGTGGTAATGATGATAATGGTGTTGGTAATTATGATGGTGGTTGTGGTAATGATGATGGTGGAGTTGGTAATAATGATGGTGGTGGTGGTAATGATGATGATGGTTGTTTTAATGATGATGGTGGTTGTGGTAATGATGATGATGGTTGTGGTAATGATGATGGTGGTTGTGGTAATGATGATGATGGTTGTATTAATGATGATGGTGGTGGTGGTGGTAATGATGATGGTGGAGGTGGTAATGATGATGGTTGTGGTAATGATGATGGTGGAGGTGGTAATGATGTTGGTGGTTGTAGTGATGATGATGGTGGAGGTGGTAATGATGATGGTGGTTGTGGTAATGATGATGGTGGAGGTGGTAATGATGTTGGTGGAGGTGGTAATGATGATGGTGGAGGTGGTAATGATGATGGTGGAGGTGGTAATGATGTTGGTGGTTGTGGTAATGATGTTGGTGGTTGTGGTAATGATGTTGGTGGTTGTTTTAATGATGATGGTGGTTGTGGTAATGATGATGATGGTTGTGGTAATGATGATGGTGGAAGTGGTAATGATGATAATGGTGTTGGTAATTATGATGGTGGTTGTGGTAATGATGATGGTGGAGTTGGTAATAATGATGGTGGTGGTGGTATGATGATGATGGTTGTTTTAATGATGATGGTGGTTGTGGTAATGATGATGATGGTTGTGGTAATGATGATGGTGGTTGTGGTAATGATGATGATGGTTGTATTAATGATGATGGTGGTGGTGGTAATGATGATGGTGGAGGTGGTAATGATGATGATGGTTGTGGTAATGATGATGGTGGTTGTGGTAATGATGATGATGGTTGTATTAATGATGATGGTGGTGGTGGTGGTAATGATGATGGTGGAGGTGGTAATGATGATGGTTGTGGTAATGATGATGGTAGAGGTGGTAATGATGTTGGTGGAGGTGGTAATGATGTTGGTGGTTGTGGTGATGATGATGGTGGAGGTGGTAATGATGATGGTGGTTGTGGTAATGATGATGGTGGAGGTGGTAATGATGTTGGTGGAGGTGGTAATGATGATGGTGGAGGTGGTAATGATGATGGTGGAGGTGGTAATGATGTTGGTGGTTGTGGTAATGATGTTGGTGGTTGTGGTAATGATGTTGGTGGTTGTGGTAATGATGTTGGTGGTTGTGGTAATGATGATGATAGTGGTGGTAATGATCATGGTGGTTAGGGTAAAGATGATGTTGGTTGTGGTGAGACGATGATAGTGATGGTAATGATGATGGTAGTTGTGGTAATGATGATGGTGGTGGTTGAGGCAAAAATGACGGTCGTTGAGATAATGATAATGGTGGTTGTGGTAATGACTATGGTTTTGGTGGTAATGATGACGATGATGGTGGTGGTAATGATGATGATGATGGTAGTGGTAATGGTGACGATGGTGGTGTTGGTAATGATGACGATGATGATGTTGGTGGTGATGATGACGATGATGATGTTGGTGGTGATGATAGTGATTATGATGATGATGGTGATGGTGGTGGTAATGATAACGATGATGATGTTGGTGGTGATTATAGTGATTATGATGATGATGATGATGATGATGATGGTGGTGGTGGTAGTGGTGTTGTGATGATGACGATGGTGATGTTGGTGGCGATGATGATGATGATGACGATGGTGGTGGTGGTGGTGATGGTGATGACGATTACAATAACATTAATAACGACTGTGACAATAACAGAAGCAATGCTACCTAAACAAAACTGACTCGTTTCCATGGACGCTACTATGCACAGAAAAGCAGTTATTGAATAATTCACAATCTATGATGGAGGAATTGTGACTGGGGGCTACAGAAGTTGTTTGTTGTGCTGCAGGGAGAGGATGCATATAAATGGATTATTTGTACAACGATATGTTGTTGTCATCTTGTGTTGAGAGGCCTGTGGAGAGAGAGGGGGGGGAGGGGGTAGGAGTAAGGGGTTGGTGTGATGGTGGTCCTTATGAAAAGGGGAGAGAATGGGGACATGGGAGGGAGTTGGTGGGTCGTATTGTTAACTCTCACTTTTTGCAGATGTATGCGTTTAATTACATATGGTTACATCTTTTTTTTTTTCCTTCTTTTTTTTTTTTTTTTTTTTTTGGTTGTTCACTCGCGCGCTCTCTCTCTCTCTCTCTCTCTCTCTCTCTCTCTCTCTCTCTCTCTCTCTCTCTCTCTCTCTCTCTCTCTCTCTCTCTTCCCTCTCTCCACTCTTTCCTCTCTCTCTCTCACCTTCGTCAATGCCCCCCTTCCCCAGCCCCGCCCCATCTCTCCCGTGATCTAGCATCACTAAGGGTTGAAAATTTCTTTTTCTGTCGTGAGCAACATTCAAAACCTAACGTGCACAGTTTGTGGCGAATGTACTAGCCATGAGAACAAATCCTTCGGCTCATGACTGCAGGCTCCTAAACCAACAAGCTGTAAATACACTGAGAAAAAAACGCAGACCCCCTCCCTCCCCCTTACACTCCCCCTTTCTCCCCTCTTCCCCCAACTCCCTTCTTGTTTTCTCCCTTTCTCGTGCTCTTTAGATGTGTTCTGTATAATAAACAAAAATAGTGACACCTTAAAAGATCTGAACACCAAGGAAGATTGGCTCATAAAAAGCATCTTGTGTGGAAAATTAATCATTTTGGCCATTTCAAGCGCAACTGAAGATTGAGGGGGAAGAATTAGAAGAAGGCATTCTACCATGAAATAGAGGCATAAGGTGACCAGCATGAAGATGGATACAGATATAAGTGAGATCTTGATTAGGTAAGCCTAGCGGCCAGACGCTCGCCTTCGGATCGGAAGGTCATGAGTTCGGTTTCTGACGGGAGCCAGACTTTTTCAAAATCGGCCTCGGCTCCCAGGTCAACGCAGCCTTAAGTGGGTACCAGGTGCAGTCCTGGGAAGTAAAAGCAGCCGGCGTGACGCTGACCACATCAACCACCATGTATTGTATGGTGTATACAAAATAGGTTTAGTTCTATACGCCCAATAGGCCTGAAAGGCGTGGAAAAGTGTTCTTTCACTTTTGGTTGGGTAAGCCCACGAGGCGGGAGATCTGGCAAGAGATCGAGTTTCCCCTTACTTACGGAATGCTTTTATGTTCCTCTGTCTATTTTTCTTTGTCTTTTTCTGTTCTTTTTCTCGCTCTTCATCTCAAGCTGTTACTAAATTTTCTCTCTCTAGTTTTTTTCTCTCTCTCTCTCCCTCTTTATCTCTCTCTCTCTCTCTCTCTAACTCTCTCTCTCTCTCTCTCTCTCTCTCTCTCTCTCTCTCTTTCTCTCTCTCTCGCTGTTATTTTCGTAGTTTTTCTTTCTTTATCCATCTCATGCTTTTTCTCGTTCTTTCTCTTTTTACTTTCATGTTCTCTTTAGCTATCTCTACACACATACACACACACACACACACACACACACACATATATATATATATATATATATGGCGGGGGTGGCGGGGGTGGCGGGGGTGGCGGGGTGGCTGTGTGTGTGTGTGTGTGTGCGTGTGCGTGCGCGTGCGCGTGCGCGTGTGCGTGTGTGTGTGTGTGTGTGTGTGTGTGTGTAAGCCTCGGAAGTTTGGTTTTACAGTGGAATCCTTAGAATTCAGTGGCCAGTCGAAAAAGGCAATCCAAATGTTGTGTATGATTGAGGGGAGGGTTCAAAGACAACTTATCCAAATGTTGTGTATGATTGAGGGGAGGGTTCAAAGACAACTTATCCAGATGTTGTGTATGATTGAGAGGAGGGTTCAAAGACAACTTATCCAAATGTTGTGAATGATTGAGGGGAGGGTTCAAAGACAACTTATCCAAATGTTGTGTATGATTGAGGGGAGGGTTCAAAGACAACTTATCCAAATGTTGTGAATGATTGAGGGGAGGGTTCAAAGACAACTTATCCAAATGTTGTGAATGATTGAGGGGAGGGTTCAAAGACAACTTATCCAGATGTTGTGAATGATTGAGGGGAGGGTTCAAAGACAACTTATCCAAATGTTGTGAATGATTGAGGGGAGGGTTCAAAGACAACTTATCCAGATGTTGTGAATGATTGAGGGGAGGGTTCAAAGACAACTTATCCAGATGTTGTGTATGATTGAGGAGAGTGTTCAAAGACAACTTATCCAGATGTTGTGAATGATTGAGGGGAGGGTTCAAAGACAACTTATCCAGATGTTGTGTATGATTGAGGGGAGGGTTCAAAGACAACTTATCCAGATGTTGTGAATGATTGAGGGGAGGGTTCAAAGACAACTTATCCAGATGTTGTGAATGATTGAGGGGAAGGTTCAAAGACAACTTATCCAGATGTTGTGTATGATTGAGGGGAGGGTTCAAAGACAACTTATCCAGATGTTGTGAATGATTGAGGGGAGGGTTCAAAGACAACTTATCCAGATGTTGTGAGTGAAATGATGGGAGGGTTCGACTACAACCTATCACTAATGTCATGTGTTTGGTCATGTTATGAAAAGAAGGGAAACTGAAACCTTTGTCACCACTAGAAGATCTGGAGGGGGAAAGAGACAGAGGAGGACAACGCAGCCTTGTATCATGACACAGAGGGGAGTCAGCACACTGATGTGTACACAGTGTTGAACATTGCAGAATGTGGACAGGAATGAACGCCTACGTTAGTGGGAGTTGAACCTGTCGCCTCCAGATAACGAGAAGCTGTCGGCAAGAACGAGTTTACTCGGCCAGACATCCCTAGAAAATGAATAAATCAAGTAACGGAAAGTGTATTGATCGGCACTCATAAAAAGAAGTAGAAATATAGAAGAATACACTAGACAACATAAAAATTGAAAGCTGTAGTTACCGTGCCGAGATTTGAACCTGTCACCTCCAGACGGCGTGTGCGCCTCGCCATGAATACAGGTGCACTAAGAACATGGTCAACTAGGCACCCCCAAATAAAGGTGTCTTTTTGGCCATGTCTATCGTACAGCTTGAAATCCACAACTATGGAATACGGACAGAATTCATTTCAAACCATTGAAATGGCACCATAGGTTACATAAATTTATATTAACTAGAAAATGAAGTATTTAGCGAGGTCTGCAAACCTTCTTCAATATTCATTTGAATGACTGAATATCGAAGAAGGTTGGCTATTAAAGACGATAAAACAAAGAAAATTGAAATATTTTGGTAACTTGAAACGTCACGAAAGTTTAGAGAGAACAAAAATCTGGAGGTGTATGCCTGGGAAGAGAGGAAGATAAAGGCCAAAACAGAAGATTAGTTCAGGATGTGGCGGATGATCTCCAGATTGGTGTATCGGACGCGGGACATTTTGCTTGTGATCGAGAAGTTTTCTAGAGGGTTGTTATGGGAGCAAGGATCTGCAAAGGACATGCTACTGACTGACTGACTGACTACCATATACTGGCAAGATTGATGGCAGGTTGTTAATGCAACTGTCATACTTTCCTCAATTATCCTGCTGTCCCATCAATATACGTCCCATAGGACTGACAGTCTTTTCCTCCGGACTTCCGGTCAAAATGGACGCTAGGAGCCGAGGCAATTTTTTTGCTTTTGCCGGACGGTGGCCGTTTG